AATTAAATCTAACTTCGGAACCGCTCTAATTTTCTCGGGTTAATTAAATCTAACTTCGGAACCGCTCTAATTTTCTCGGGTTAATTAAATCTAACTTCGGAACCGTTCTAATTTTCTCGGGTTAATTAAATTGCTGCTAAATCAGTATATTCTAAAGTCTTTGTCACCACGTGATTAATCCTTTTTCTCAAGAAGATGAGAGTAAAAAATCTTGATAAAAATATTGTAATTACAAAGATAAATATGTGTTTTTGATAAAAGTTTTATGTTTTTAACGAAATTACTTGTAATTTTAATTTCTGTTCCTATCTTGAATATTACTGTTGGTTTTAGTTTTGAATTTGTTTTTTTTTTACGTCGTATGTTTCTCTGAAAACCATAAAAGTAATTTTTACATTGTGAACATTAGAATCTAATCAAATGTTTTTGTTGTTGTTTAATTACAGTGCAGAATAAAAATACACCATATGTCGAAGCATTCTTGTCTAAATTAGTTTCAAACATACAGTTAAAAAGTACGTGATCCAAAAGTATCGTCAGATCCAAAATAATCTTCTGACTCTTATTTTTCGATTTTCTTTTTAAACAGCGACAAAATGTTTCTTAAATATATCATTCCAACAGGGACCTGTCATGGATAACAGTACCAAGCTTAGCAACATTATACTTGATTTATCGTGTTTTTTTTTTAGTGATTTAACACTTTCCACGACATCTTAACTTTAGGGCCAGGTGTGGCTAGCGTTTCGCGTGCCGCAATGTTATCTGATGGTCTGGAGCTTTAAGCACACTCTATATTTCCAGCTGAGAATACATTAGAAAAGTCACAACAAATTGTGATATTCAGTTAAGAGTAGCCGTGTAGGCGGCGAATGCTTCTGACTGGCTATCTTCCTCAGGGTAGCTAGGGATTACTATGCCCTAACCTTGAGATTTCCGTCCTGTTCATCTAGCGTACATCTAAACCATTATTTGGTAAAAGTGTGTGAATGCGTCTGCTCAGAACCAATGATTACTGGACCGATTGACTTCAAACATAATTAGGGGTCCCAAACGATTGACATAATGCATCGGGCTTTGTATCTGATTCGCCAGGGGCCACTATGTCTTCTCCCTGCATAGAACGGGTTCGTCAAGTAGTACTACATAAAGTGCCGCTCATTTTGAAGATACGAAATACATTTCAATTTATGGTATTACGTTTGTGCTAGATGATTCAGGACAGGCGAGTGTTGTTCGTATAGTTATTGATGAGTAAGCTGATTCTGAGTTCATGCAAGGTCGAATGTTACATACGAGTCAAATGGAAAACAAGATAATAATTAGTATTATTGTCAAAACAAATGTAACAAACGAAAAAAAAAAATCCCTGACTTCAGAGTACCATGAAATTGAAAGCAACATGGAAAGGGGTAAAAGTATGCCATAACGTTAGGACTACTGCTGAGACTCATTTGTCATAAATTATTAGCGGCAATAGGTCCGAAATTCTCGTCGTTTAGTCGGGTCTGATCATCTAGGAGGCCTGTGAACCGACAAGAATAGCAAAAAATCTCGGCCCAATAGGTCCGATTAGAAATTTAATCATCTTTTCATTTGACTTTATTAACTTACAAAAAAAGTGCAATTTTATACTTTTCCTTAAAACCATAATTACGTTTTCGTCTCGTGAAAGAATCTTCTTTACTTTAATATCCCAAATGGATCCGCTAACTTTCTGGGAATCTCTATTTAAATATTATGTGAGATCCCTATGACGTGTGAAATGAAAGAGGTTCCTAGTACATGTGAATGACATGATGAAAACAAACGAAGAGTGACGAATATTATAATCTCAAGGGAGAAATGCCTTACCTTTCGGATAGTTTGTTTGTTTGTAATTAATCACAAACTACACAATGGGCTATCTGTGCTCTGCCCACCACGGGTATCGAAACCCGGATTCTAGCTTTGTAAGTCCGCTTTCGGATAGTATTACATAGTAGTAATATCAAGTCACATTATGTTTTCGTGCGTGTGAAAGTTTATCTGGATTACTATACGAATTACGTTTGTTTGTTTTGTTTGTTTTTTGAATTTCGCGCAAAGCTACACGAGGGCTATCTGCGCTAGCCGTCCCTAATTTAGCAGTGTAAGATTAGAGGGAAGGCAGCTAGTCATCACCGCCCATCGCCAACTCTTGGGCTACTCTTTTACCAACGAATAGTGAGATTGACCGTCACATTATAACGCCCCCACGGCTGAAAGGGCGAGCATGTTTTGGAGTGAGAGAGATTCGAACCCGCGACCCTCAGATTGAGAGTCGAGCTCCCTAACCACCTGGCCATGCCGGGCCACGAATTACGTACATTCCAAGAGTGATATAATCAAAAACTGTTGTTTTAAATTTTAAAATATTCACATCTGCAACTGCTAAATGGAATGAACACACGTATATACATGCTCTTGGAGTAGATCAGATAAATCCGATAAGCATCACTTAGAATTCCTGGAGGACCAGTTAAAATTTTTATGAATGACTGATTAGAAATTTTATAAATTCTGGACCCTAATTAGTAATTATATGAGCTTTTTATTAACTTAAAAATTAACGCTTTGATTTAGTAATGAAACATATCGCAGGAATTTATTTATTTTGGCCATCTAGAATGGTAAGTGATTTTATAAGAAATGTAGAAAAGGAGTCATGGATTATAGTGGATTGATCTGTAAAATAAGGACTGGAAGACGATGTGGACTATCATGCAAGAAAGTTAAAACGAAAGAGATAGATTTATGTATAAAACATTGGTTAGGTCACATCTTGAATATTATGTTCAGTGTTCTTCTACTAGAGTTACTAGAAGATTACTGGAATGACGGTGTACGCTTATCATGAAAAATGTTCTCAGTTTGTTTCAATTTAAAAATACAATAATTTAATAAGATTTAATTGAACTGTTTAAAATTGTGAGTAGTATTAAATGTGTAAATTCTGATGAGTTGTCCATTTTGGATAATAATTGTTTCTTTGTCCACCGCGGGAAATCGAATTTTATATTTTTAAAGGGTTGTAATTTTTTAAATGACTTGCCAACTGATACAGCTGGAGTTTATACAGCGGTAAATTTCAAAAGGGATTAGAAAACTATTATCGAAAGTACCCGGCTTCGCATTGATTAAAAGATTGATATATTCTAGATGACTTTGTCAGTGTGTGTTTTCTGAACCTATTTTAGCATAGAAGAACAGTCAAAAATATTTCAAATTTATTGCCCAGAAATAAAAAAGCCATAAAGTACATAGTCTAACACCAATATTATGTTATACTTTTGTTGCTAAGCAACAGGACATAAAAGCCGTTGTTCGAACGCATTGATACCAAAACGCATTGGCTTTTCTAAATATTAGATGTTGTTATATAAGGAACCATTTCTATTGTATCTGATTTTCGCTAGTTTGCCTCATTTAAAAGAGGTGCACGCAACTGGATAAAATAAGTAATACCCAGGTGCACACCCTCAGGGTCCACTTAGTATGGGTTCAAAATTTCATCTTTCTAGGATTTTTCCTCTTGAAGCTATGGCGGTCAAACTTCTATGTAATCTTTCACTAATTTCCCACATAAAAAGATGCGCACGTGCATAAGCTAAGAAATACATAGATATACACCTAAAGGGTCCTCTTAGTATTAGTGCAAAATTTCAGGTGCAAATTTTCTATGTGGTTTTTCGCTAGCTTGCCTCATTAAAAAGATGCGCACGCGCGCATGCATGTGGATAAGATAACTAATACCCAAATAAGTAATTCCCTCTGACTTGTCTTCTGATTTTGAATTTAAGAAATAAAAAACAAACCTTTATAATTAAAGAAGCCTCTTAATTAGAAAACAACATATATATTTATATATATAATTTTTTATTTTGTAGTTTATACATTTTATTTTGGCCTGGCATAGCCACGTGGATAAGGCGCTCGACTCGCAATCTGAGGGTCGCGGATTCGAATCCCCGTCCTACCAAACATGCTCGCCCTTTCAGCCGTGAGGGCATTATAAGTGACGATCAATCC